TTCAAGTCTTGAACATGTACTCATTGTAGCGGAGGAGAGAAAGATACATGATAATAGTGGAATCTTACTTACAAGTGCATCCATGTGCGAGTTTTTCGAGATAAGAGCAGTTGCTCGGTTGATTTTTTGCTTCCAGATGCGAGTGGGCCTCAAGGGACGTTCCTTGACACTGGTGAGGGGCTCTTGCTCTTGATCTAGGGAATTGGATCTCATTTGTTTGTTGGAATATCTAATTGAAACTTGGGCAATGTATGATGGAAAGATGCTTCTTAACATACACCAAAAATGAAAGAAATCGGACCATAAATAACGGAGTTCACTTCTCAGCCATTAGCCGCCCCTTAGCGGTACTTTCGTATGGTTTTTATGGTTGTATTCTCATTTTTTTGGTCTCATTTGATAGAATGGAAGATATATTACAGAAATAGATATAATTTCGATTGGTCTCACAATGAAAAGTACCTTGAAAATGAGCTCAAAGTAGCAGAAATGTTCGATTCTTTGGTGATGTTCAAGAGTAAACAAATGATGTCACTGTCCATTCCAATATTCAGTCATGAATGGGTTGACATTATTTATACAATTATTACAATAATGCAGTAGTCTGCATAACAGTAAATCTTCTATTTTTTGTGTGAATAAAAACTACAAATTTATATTGTAATAATAATAATAATAACACGGTGGTACCTCGGGATATGAACTGCTCAAAACCTGAACAATTATGTAAGTTTATTTTTGTAAGTGATTTTGTAAGTGTATTTGTGGGGGTTGGAAATGGATTAATCTAATTTACATTATTCCTATGGGAACAAATTTATTCGGTATTGGCACTCGAACAGCCTTCTGGAACTAATTAAGTTCGTATCCCGAGGTACCACTGTACATATAATAATAATAGTAAACATAATAATAATAATACATGTATAATAATAATGTACTATACTGTACTGTAAAATACACGTAATTATAATAATAGACGGCTTTGAAAGGCCACTAGATGGCAGTGATTACCACAACAATGCAGGAGCGTTTGTGGCCACCTCCACTTGTCACATAATGACATTTTATTCATTCTAGAGTATGTATCAGGTTTCTGTGTTATTTATATTGTTTATTATGTCATATTAGGTGAATTGTGATAGATAAATAAGCCCCTATAGATGAGATTTGAAAAATTTTAAGTTCTTTTCGCCTCCCGGGGGCCACAATGGTTTATTTCATTTTAATTAATTTTTAATAGGAAAACTGACTCTGCAAACAAACAAAACCCGATGCGGCAAGGTCACGGAAGGATTAAACTCTTAACCCTTTTTAGGGTCGCAGGCCCTCTCCAAAACTGTTCTCAGGGCGGCCAAAAATTTTTAAAAAAAAAAAAAATTATTTTCTCTTATGAAAAGTAGAGAATTTTTCCCCCATATAATGAACCCAAAAGTTTGAAATTTTATAGAAAACTTAAGGAATTTTGCTCTCGAAGTTTGCGGTCTCGGCAAGTTTACGCATCCCCGGGGATTTGCCCACTTGGCCCCATTTTCGGCCAATTTTACTGTACTAGTCGACAAAAAACATGAAAAATTTCGCTAGAACTCCTTTTTTTTTATCGAAGGGGGCAAGAAACCACTCATTTTTGAAATTCAAAATATCCAAAAAGTGGTCGAATTTAGCAATTTTTCCAATTTCACAAAATTTAAAAGTGCCAAATTTTCCCAATAGGGTCCAGAATAAACAAGAAAGAATTCCGGCACTAAATGACATTTCCTTAGTCATTAGTCACGTCTCAAGGCCCCCTTATATTCTTTTGCTTTCCACTTTGAATTTTTATTTTCCAAAAAAAAAATAAGTTTTTTTGTTTGCAGATACTGCATTAGTGTAAAAAATGGTATAAATTTATTGGTGCACTTTTGAAAAAATATTAGCTCACCATTGCGTGTATTTCACGCTTGGCACATTTGTTTACTTTTTAATTTGGTTAAAAAAAACAACTTTCTGCTACTTTGAGCTCAATTTCAAGGCACCTTTTTTTGTAAAAACCCGTCAAAATCATTCAATTTCAACATGTCTTCCATTCTATAAAATGAGACCAAGAAAACTAGAAAAAACACAATAAAAATTCCATACGAAAATACACTGCAAAGTCGCTGATTTATTAAAAAAAAATGGTCAAAGTTTTTTTTTCTCATTATGCACTGTGTGCTGCAGGATTTTTTTTAGACTGTGCACACTGACCACATAGACACATTCTTTCATATGAAGGCCTACCAGCTTACTCCCACTAGATTTGAGGCCGCTAGAATTTATGAGTACTAGTACGTCAAAAACCCCTACGCGTAAGACGTACTAGTACGACGAAAACCCTCAAAGGGTTAAGTAGAGGTTCCACTGTACATACCTGGAAAGTACTCGAGGGCCTGGTCCCAAATCTGCACACTACCATAACATACTGGAGTGAGAGATACGGGAGGAAGTGAAAAATAAACCCAGTGAGGAACAGGGGTGCAGTGGGGACAATAAGGGAACACTATCAACATTCGGTGTCCCAGACTGTTCAACATCTTAGCAGAAGATATCAGAAACATGGCTGAAACAAGTGTAGAAGCCTTCAAGAGGAAACTGGACAAGTATCTTCACCAGGTGCCAGATCAACCAGGCTGTGATGGATATGTGGGGCAGCAGGCCTCCAGCAACAACAGACTGGTTGACCAGGAAAGCACTAGACGAGCCTGGCCCATGGCCAGGCTTTGAGAGTAATGAAACTCTTGAAACTCTTCAAAGGTATAACAAAGGTATATACCCATACTTCAGAGTGCAGGCACTACTTCCCACCACCACCCATCCTTCAGAGTGCAGGCACTACTTCCCACCTCCACCCATCCTTCAGAGTGCAGGCACTGTACTTCCCACATCCACCCATGCTTCAGAGTGCAGGCACTATACTTCCCACCTCCACCCATCCTCCAGAGTGCAGACACTGTACTTCCCACCTCCACCCATCCTCCAGAGTGCAGGCACTGTACTTCCCACATCCACCCATCCTTCAGGGTGTAGGCACTCTACTTCCCACTACCATCCATCCTTCATAGTGCAGGCACTGTGTTTCCCACTTCCACCCATCCTTCAGAGTGCAGGCACTACTTTCCACCTCCACCCATCCTTCAGAGTGCAGGCACTGTACCTCCCACCACCACCCATCCTTCAGAGTGCAGACACTGTACTTCCCACATCCACCCATCCTCCAGAGTGCAGGCACTGTACTTCCCACATCCACCCATCCTCCAGAATGCAGGCACTGTACTTCCCACATCCACCCATCCTTCAGAGTGTAGGCACTGTACTTCCCACTACCACCCATCCTTCATAGTGCAGGCACTGTGGCTTCCCACTTCCACCCATCCTTCAGAGTGCAGGCACTACTTTCCACCTCCACCCATCCTTCAGAGTGCAGGCACTGTACTTCCCACTTCCACCCATCCTTCAGAGTGCAGGCACTGTACTTCCCACTTCCACCCATCCTTCAGAGTGCAGGCACTGTACTTCCCACCACCACCCATCCTTCAGAGTGCAGACACTGTACTTCCTACATCCACCCATCCTCCAGAGTGCAGGCACTGTACTTCCCACATCCACCCATCCTCCAGAGTGCAGGCACTGTACTTCCCACATCCACCCATCCTTCAGAATGTAGGCAATGTACTTCCCACATCCACCCATCCTTCAGAGTGTAGGCAATGTACTTCCCACATCCACCCATCCTTCAGAGTGTAGGCAATGTACTTCCCACATCCACCCATCCTTCAGAGTGTATGCAATGTACTTCCCACATCCACCCATCCTTCAGAGTGCAGGCACTGTACTTCCCACTACCACCCATCCTTCAGAGTGCAGGCACTGTGTTTCCCACTTCCACCCATCCTTCAGAGTGCAGGCACTACTTTCCACTTCCACCCATCCTTCAGAGTGTGGGCACTACTTTCCACCTCCACCCATCCTTCAGAGTGCAGGCACTGTACTTCCCACCTCCATCTAACCATTTTTCATGAATCCTTTCATAAATGTTACCGTCCTCACCCTCCAACAACATGTCAAATTGTAAAAACTACTCCTATTGGTTTTGTCATAAAATCAACAGAGGACATTAAATAGCATAGTATTAAACATTTAAACTCAAAAATTTAGAAGTGTTAACATTTTACAATAGATTATCATGAATTCTGATGCAGGGTACCAGAGCACTTATTTTTTTTTCTGAACAGTCACCTTTTGTTACTTTACCTATTACTTACTAGTTTGGGATTTTGGGTGCGAGTTGGCAGTAAAATTACCACAAGAGTGTGGTGCATTGAGTAACAAATTGTTAAAGACTGTAAACACACTGGATCATTATCAAGTTATGGAGAAAGTTCAAAAACTGAGATGAAGATTTGAACATAGGGGTTAATATAATTGAACCATATGTCCTAAAATTAGGAAGTCTCAAGTTTAGGTATGACTGTATAATACTGTAATCTATAGCAGCCAGAAATTTAGTGCCCAAGGATTAGATCTGAGCTGCAAGATTTTAGTGTAGAAATTTAGGTATTTAATTATTGGTATGGATATGTATATGGGGTACATGTTATTCAAGGAGAAAAATAAAATATTTTTTAAACAATATATTTCATGAAGTGTGCACTGCTAGTTACCATGAAGTTTTAAAAAAAAATACTAGCATTTAAAGGAAAATGAAGGCTGAGGAGAATGAAGTGTTAAATGAAAGTGATCATTCTGACCTACAGTAAAAACTTACTCTGCTACATATCTGTTTTGGTCAGTTGCTGTCAGTTTGTCTGATATAGGTAAAGGACCAATTGCATGTTTTAAGCTTATGTACAAAAGTTTGGATAATATATTATTGATTACCCTGCATTTGAGAACAATATTATTTGTGGGCTTGGTGCATGTATGACTTGGGCCACACTGAAAGTAAAAGAAAAAAAAGTGTTTTAAATGTATTATTATTATTATTATTATTATTATTATTATTATTATTATACATTAGTTCAGTTTTAAACTTACAAATAATGATGGAAATGCCTTTTCTGAATTGCATTTACATACTTTGGTTAATTTTCAAATTACACAACTTTTACACAGCTGTGTCTTACACATTCATTTCTTCAAGATACAATAACAAACATTCCATATGTGATGAAAAACCTATCTGGTATAATGTCACATGTGAGCAAATGTATGTAAAGAGCACTGGGGACTGATCCCATGAAATGTCAGATGAGAGTTGTTAACATGGCCGTTGATAACGAATGGTGAAATTCTTCTCAATATTCTCCTTTCTTAGTGAATGAGTTGTGAAAACTTTAGATGGTGCCCAATTACTCAGTAGAGGAACACGTGATCAGCTAACCTTCTGTCTAGGACACCAGTGTGACTAGACACTTCTGGCTACTGTCAAGTCTACAGAACTGGGATTTCCTTTGTGATGAGCAGTGGACTGTGCTAAAGCTTCTCCTGTTGCTATCAGTGTGACCTCTGTGTCTTGCAGTCTCTCTTTCTGATCTCCAATAAATGAAACCATGGAAGTCAAATTGATCTACGATGGACAGGAAGTTGTGGCTAACCAACATACCTCTTAGACATGGACAAATATGTGTCCACACGATCATTCATCCATTTAACCCTTTCAGTGTCAAGACCCCTGCTCTCAAACTTGCTCTCAGGGTCGAAGAATTGAAAAAAAAATTATCTTACGAAAGGTAATGAAAACAAAAGTATGAAATTTGGTGGAATTATGCTCTCGCAAAGTTAACATCATTTGTGTCCTCTGGAATATCAGCAAAAATCGAACATTTCTGCTACTTTGAGCTCAGTTTCAAGCTACTTTAAGTCTTGAAACTAATCAAAATCATCTCTGTATCTATCGTACGAGACCAAGAAACAGAGAATACAACCATAAAAAAAATTTGATAATACACAGCGAAGTCACTGTTTTAAACGAAAAACACAGTCGCAGTCTTTTTTTCTCATTATACACCGCGTGCTGCAGGATTTTTTTTTATATAGTGCACATTTACCGTATAGACCCATCCTCTCGTATCTAGGCCCAGATTTACTGCTCACAGCTTATCTGGGTGAGCTGAGCTCATGGCATCATGCTACGTGACCGACACTGACTTCAAAGCCGTGATACAATGAGACTGATACTGAAAGGGTTAATTGTCACACCTAATGGTTCTTAACCTGAGTGACCTATGCATCATTTATAATACAGTACCATGCCAGAATAATATATATATTATATATAAATTCTTAGACTTCCTTCTCTTTTCTCCAACATTGCAAGCTCCTGATTGTGTTGATTGCAACACTAAAGGCCTAGAGCTATCATTCAACTCCCTACATGGTTGTTTTGCATTATATATATACTATATAAGTATTTTTGTTTTACCATATCAGCTATAATATATAACACTTACATAATTGAATGAATTAAGTAACAGTCAGTAAAACAAATGCTGGAAATTACAAGCAAAACAAGTTAAATTTATTTTTCTTATTTTATGCTTAATATAGCCTTTTAATTTTTGTAATATAGAGCTTAAAATTTGATATTATTTTTAATATACGTACATGATACTGAAATATTTTTAAGTGTCGTGCTTTACAATGATAGATCAAAATGAAGGTTTTGAACTCTTGTGTTTATTGATATTTGTTAGACTCGTCTAATAAATGTACACAATTGAATTTTGCATTTATCATTTAGATAAAAATTTAATTTGAGCTTCTCTTCCTCTCTAATCCATGTTATAGCTGAAGTAATATTTTAGTTAGCATCGACTTTCTATTAATGTGTGAGACACTTTCTCGTTGAGTATTGTCCAGTTGCTCTTACAGGGAGTCTCAGGTTTCTGACACGTGCCACTTTCTGGTCTCTATACAGTAACCCTCAGATATAATGGACTAATAGGGGATGACCATTAAATTGAAATATTAAAGAAGTGCACTACAGTACTTTAGTGTATACACAGTACAATGATGTACACCCAATTTACAGATATACTGCAATAAACATTGAGAATTTACCCAGTGGATTTTGCCTATACAGTGGAACCTCAGTTTTCGTATGCCCTAGTTGGAGAAAATTCTCTATTAAATGCATTTTTTGTTGATATTTTGGGGTGTCTGGAATGGATTAATTGGTTCCATTCAGGACACCCAAAAATATTAATAAAAAAGTACATTTTATACAGAATGTTCTCCAAGAATTTTCTCCAACTAGGGCATACGAAAACCGAGGTTCCACTGTAATTTTCATATTCCATTTTGTCAAGGGTTTACTGTAGTAATTGTCATTTAATAGTTGCTATACTGATTTCTCAGAAATATTTTTATGATTTATGATTGAATTAACTAGTGGCTGTTGAAGGTTGATAAGGATAAAAAAAAATTAAATGACAAAAGAAATTGCAAATAATATATTTATACATTAAAAAAAAGTCTTCAGTCTGCACTGGAAGCCAGAAACTTTGACAGTATCTTTTACTTGCAGGATTCCATGAAATGAACTATAACTTTATTTCAAATGTTATAATTGTATTTAGTATAATTGCCAAATATTGAAAGCATCACAATTACATACTATTTGACAGCAATTTAAATGACCGAGTCTCTAGTTTTATTCTTTTTTTGTGTGAAACCTTAGTTATGCTCCTGATTTTTGACAATGTATTAAAACATTTAGGTGGAGATGATGAAATCTGTCCATATGCTACGTTCCATCTTCTTGGATTCCGTGAAGAAATGGACCCCCAGCAGGCTGGCAATAACTTCCAGACATTTCCCTACCAGAATGGCCATGGATCTCAACAAAACTTCGTAAATTCTCCTGCTTCTCGAAGTATGGTAGGTGTGGTGTTTATGAGATGAAGTGACTGTATGGCAATGTTTGCTCTGTGCTAAGACTTTGGGGAATGAAATATCTAATTTTAGCCTCTTTTGTATAATAATTAACCCTTTCACTGTCACGACCCATGAAATTAAAAGTGCTGACAGTATAGCAATTTTTCAAATAAAAATTTTCTTCTGAAATGGTAGAGAATCTTTTTCCGAAGGAAATGATGCTCTATAAGTACAGGTGGGTGTGTGTGTGTGTGTGTGTGTGTGTGTGTGTGTGTGTGTGGGTGTGTGTGTGTGTGTGTGTGTCGGCGTGTGCTGTGTGTGTGTGTGTGCGTGTACGTTGTAGTTACGTGTTGAGTGACGTACGGTCTCTCCCTATTGGTTAGGAGTCTTCTCGAAGGAAATGAAAGATCTTAGTACCGAAGGAATGATTAGTGTGGGTGTTGTGTGGTGTGTTGTTTGTGTGTGTGTGGTGTGTGTGTGTGTTGTGTGTGTGTGTGTGTGTAGCATGCCTTCTTTTTTATCAACTGAGTTTAAGAAACTGCCCATTCAACTATCAAAACTACCCTATAAAGTGCACAAAAGTTAGTAATTTGGCCATTTTACACAAAATTCAACAAATTCCACTTTAGCCCTTAAGGTGTCCAAACGTAGATCTACATTCACATGTGTAGCACTTCGAAAATAGATCTATTTTTTTTTTTTTTACATGCTTTCAAATGGAGAAAATAAAGGCCGGAGCGCTACGCACATGAACGTAGATATGCATTTGGACAGTTTAAGGGTTAAAAACAGAGTCCAAAATAAATGTAGGTATTCCAGCAACTAAAACAACTTACCCTCTGTTCATTAATCACATCCCCAAGCCTCTCCTATATAATACTTTCTCTATTTTATGGATATTTAAATATAACCAAGAATGAATGCTCAGTAACTCATCAAAGGTGCTACAAATTTGTACAACTATAAAGCCTCTTATTTGAAATACTCATTTGTACTTCATGTAATTTGTTTACTGTATTTTTACCACTGAATATATCATTACTTAGTTAATCTTAAGTTAATTTTAAGCCTGCCCACAATGCTCTGCATACTAGGGGCTTTCGGCATGTACACTCAACCACTGTATTTCTTTTGTACAACTAAATATCATGTAGAAATAATAATAAATAAATAAATGGTTTGGGCCATCCCAGTAATTGAAGCAGACCAAGTGAAAACCACAAAACAGGCCATGCCCTCTCTCAGGAAAATTGCCAAAAATCAAATGCCACTTTTCTGCTAATTTCAGCCATACTTTAAGTACTCTAAAACTGATCAAAATCATCTTTATTTGATTAGTATGGCTTCAACTGACACCAAGAAACAGCCAATGAAGCCATAAAAACTACCCTATAAAACACCTTAGTCATTATTTCAAACGAAACACAGTGCCAAGAGATTTGCTTTATTTCAGTCATGCACTGCATTGGGCAAGATTTTTAATTTTTTATCCTGTGCATTCACCACAAAGATCCATTCCCTCATGTCTAGGCCAAAAATTTACTGCTCACAACATATTTAACCCTTAAACTGTCCAAACGTAGATCTACGTTTTTATTATTATTGAAAGAATTAAGAGTAAGACAGAGAATAGGATAGCAGATGAACAAGGAGGCTTTAGGAAAGGTAGAGGGTGTGTGGACCAGGTGTTTACAGTGAAACATATAAGTGAACAGTATTTAGATAAGGCTAAAGAGGTTTTTGTGGCATTTATGGATTTGGAAAAGGCGTTGACAGGGTGGATAGGGGGCAATGTGGCAGATGTTGCAGGTGTATGGTGTAGGAGGTAGGTTACTGAAAGCAGTGAAGAGTTTTTACGAGGGTAGTGAGGCTCAAGTTAGAGTATGTAGGAAAGAGGGAGATTATTTCCCAGTAAAAGTAGGCCTTAGACAAGGATGTGTGATGTCACTGTGGTTGTTTAATATATTTATAGATGGGGTTGTAAGAGTAGCAAATGCAAGGGTCTTGGCAAGAGGCATGGAGTTAAAAGATAAAGAATCACACATAAAGTGGGAGTTGTCACAGTTGCTCTTTGCTGATGACACTGTGCTCTTGGGAGATTCTGAAGAGAAGTTGCAGAGGTTGGTGGATGAATTTGGTAGGGTATGCAAAAGAAGAAAATTAAAAGTGAATACAGGAAAGAGTAAGGTTATGAGGATAAAAAGACTAGGTGATGAAAGATTGGATATCAGATTGGAGGGAGAGAGTATGGAGGAGGTGAATGTATTCAGATATTTGGGAGTGGACGTGTCAGCGGATGGGTCTATGAAAGATAAGGGGAATCATAGAATTGATGAGGGGAAAAGGGTGAGTGGTGCATTTAGGAGTCTGTGGAGACAAAGAACTTTGTCCTTGGAGGCAAAGAGGGGAATGTATGAGAGTATAGTTTTACCAACGCTCTTATATGGGTGTGAAGCATGGGTGATGAATGTTGCAGCGAGGAGAAGGCTGGAGGCAGTGGAGATGTCATGTTTGAGGGCAATGTGTGGTGTGAATATAATGCAGAGAATTCGTAGTTTGGAAGTTGGGAGGAGGTGTGGGATTACCAAAACTGTTGTCCAGAGGGCTGAGGAAGGGTTGTTGAGGTGGTTCGGACATGTAGAGAGAATGGAACGAAACAGAATGACTTCAAGAGTGTATCAGTCTGTAGTGGAAGGAAGGCGGGGTAGGGGTCGGCCTAGGAAAGGTTGGAGGGAGGGGGTAAAGGAAGTTTTGTGTGCGAGGGGCTTGGACTTCCAGCAGGTATGCGTGAGCATGTTTGATAGGAGTGAATGGAGACAAATGGGTTTTAATACTTGATGTGCTGTTGGAGTGTGAGCAAAGTAACATTTATGAAGGGGTTCAGTGAAACCGGCAGGCCAGACTTGAGTCCTGGAGATGGGAAGTACAGTGCCTGCACTCTGAAGGAGGGGTGTTAATGTTGCAGTTTAAAAACTGTAGTGTAAAGCACCCTTCTGCAAGACAGTGATGGAGTGAATGATGGTGAAAGTTTTTCTTTTTCGGGCCACGCCTTGGTGGGAATCGGCCAGTGTGTTAATAAAAAAAAAATGCTCCGACCTTGATTTTCTCCATAAGAAAGCATGTAAAAAAAAAGTAGATCTACGTTCGGAGCGCTACGTGAACGAATGTAGATCTACATTTGGACAGTTTAAGGGTTAATAGTGCTGTGCTTATAATGTAGAGGTGTGCAGTCACTGGCATCAGTAACATAGATCTACATGGGAGACAGTGAAAGGGCTAAAAAAAAAAATACTGTAATTGCATTTGAAACAAGTAATTAACTTTAGTACATTGTTTTCTTTTATTAATAAGACCTTCTGTTAAGGAACAAGAGAGGCTAATACCTTTCTGCAACTTTTTTGTATAGTTCTTTTATAATAACTAAAATAAATAAATATATTATATTATATATATATATATATATATATATATATATATATTTTATATATATATATATATATATATATATATATATAAATGATATATATATAGTATATATGAATGGACTTCTTGCCGAATAGGGCAAGTGAAAATTTGTGTATGCAATAATTTTGCAAAAATCATCGAGTCTAATGATGTGTTTGTTTGTTTATTAAATTATTGTAAACTTATATAAAATATATTTGGTTGGATTAGGCTAAATTAAATTGCACTTGTTATAATAAGGCTAGGCAAGTTTACTAAGGTTCTTTTGGTACAAAATAATTAATTTTTATATCAACATAAATGAAACAAAAAAATATATCTTTAAATGTATAAGAGAAATTTTAGAAAGGACTTAATTTTAAACGAGCTCTTGCTAATTTACCAGTTTTACCTATTCGGCACGACATATATATATTTATTTATTTATCACATATATATATACATGTTCATAATCATACTGCCAGTAATATGCATGGATATATTGTTATAGTGCAGTATAAGCTTATATGTTGGTAAAACTCTTATTACGAGTGGTATGTGCTGAACTTTAATGCTTTTATATAAAATTTATTAATGTAGCGTTTACTTTGCCACAATGTTGTAATGTTGAACCATACCCCCGGCCGGGATTGAACCCGCGGTCATAGAGTCTCAAAACTCCAGCCCGTCGCGTTAGCCACTAGACCAGCTAGCCACAATAAGATTCATCCAACTAGGTATATTTTTACACCATAGGAAGGTTAGCACAGGCACCTCTGTGATCACAAATGCAAGTTTTTTACAGACGAATCTCCAGCTAGCGTGGCCACGCTAGCTGGAGATATACCTAGTTGGATGAATCTTATTGTGGCTAGCTGGTCTAGTGGCTAACGCGACGGGCTGGAGTTTTGAGACTCTATGACCGCGGGTTCAATCCCGGCCAGGGGTATGGTTTATTTGCAATCGTGTCATTACGATTTCTTAAGTCTTGTAATGTTGAATTACGGAGAAGTTGCTTAAAAATTACATAACATGTATATTAGAAACATATTTTACACATATACATACATACATGCCTAAATACACACACCTAAACTTACATGCACATCTAAACACACACACCAAAACACTTACGTAAACACACACACACACACACACACACACACACACACACACACACACACACAACACACACACACACACACACACACACACACACACACACACACACAACTAAACAGAAACACACACTTTTACTATAGTATTTATATTATTATTATTTACATGTTATATCCCTCTTATTAAAGCATAAAAATTCAGTAAAATAAAAAGAAAAGGTTATCTACAAGGAAACAGGTAAGAATAAAACTGTTTTTTGCTATGTTATCACAGGTGTGCAGAACACTGCCAAGGATGACACTTAAATTAATGGAAAATATGTAAAATCTATAATTATAAAAATGATAGGGACAGGCTCTGTTGGAAGATGAATACAGGAAAAACTGAGGTAATGATTATTTGTATTTTAATGTATACAGCAAAATCCTGAATTTTGAATA